AGTTCTTAACCATCGCGCCACTCGGCCGGCCCCTAGGTTGGTTAGTTTTGATCTACAAACCAGTCAGCCTATAGTTCTGTTTACTAAATACATGCTCTAGATAAAGGACTCAAGACCAAAATGCTAAAGTTTCAGATACTTATGGAAATCTTTTACTACCTGGTTCATCAGAAATTTATTTATACCTGATTCTTGATTAAGAGTTTTAAAATCTTAAAAAAAAAGTTTTAAATTAATCCTTTTATATGCTGTCAGATGTGGCTTTTGCTTCAACTTTGTTTTTCTCTTCAGGAAATAGTCCTGGTCCTGGAGGCCCTGCCCTGACCACAGACTTAGCTCTGGCCACTCCTACTGAATGTGCTTAAATAAAGATCTATATTACTGTGCTTTAAACCCTGTCAGAGAGTTACTGGAAAAGTATAGTGGAAATAATAATTCCAGATTTCATGTATTTTATAGCTTCTATATAGGTTTGCAATGCTTTTTAATTTAGTATCTTATTTAATAGTCATGATAGTAACAAGGCGTTTTCTAGCTATCCTTGGGCTTGTAGAATTTTCTTTAAAAAGTCAGGTGATCACATGTATTATCTGTATTACAAATTACACACTAAATTCTGTTGTCACCCATTTACATGTTTGGACTAGATCTCTCCATTCTAGTTGCCACTCGTTTAGCTCTGTTCCCTTTTCCCTCTGTGCACATGGATCAGGCTTCTAACTGGCCTTCTTTCTAATCTTTCGTCTTCAGTACTGTAGGTCTCCTAACCCCCCAAAATACATTAATCAGTCTATTCTCCACAGTGCTTGCAGATTGAATTTCTTACGATGAAAATCTTACTTTGGGACTCCACTGGTTAGAATCACTCAGTAGCTCCCAGTAACCTCCCTCCTAAATTCAAGCACCATAGCATAGCAAAAAAAGCTCTTCACACTCTGGCTTCTTTCTGCCTTATCCCCCCCCCTCCCCCCCAGCCCTTTCTCGTTGGTACCCTCTGGTCCTGTAACACTAAACTATCGTACAGAATGATTTTCTGTTCCCTGGATACCTCCATATTTGGCCCCAGGCCAAGCCTTTATGACCTCTATACAGTACTTTCATCCCTTGGCATGTGCTATTCTTCCTGCCTGAAACCTTGCTCCTTTCTCCCATCTCTTCCATTTCATCTAAGATCTACTCATCTTTTAAGATACATATGTCAGTATCTCTAAGATGGCTGTCCATCTTACTGCTTTGTCAAGAGGATGGTTTTCCCTTTTCTATAGCCAATATATTCTGTGCTTTCTTTCAGAAAAGCTTTACACACTTTATTAAAATTGTCTATTTGTCTCCTTTTCCAGCAAGCAGAGTTCGTGTGTTTTGTGCCTCTCCCTGGTGTCTCTCCCAGCAGGCATCAGGCATCATAGTAAGCAGTCAATAAATGTTTGCCTGATGAATGAATGAGAAGGAAAGAAAGAGTAGATCAAAGTACCCAGGGTTTTTAGTTGTAGTCCTAGAGATCCAGACCTTCAGAAAAGTAAGAAGGGAGAAATGTTCTTGATGAGCTCTGATACACTGTGACAGAGAACAGCCCCATGCTGTAAGAGGTCACAGATTCACATAATCCCAGTTACTCTTCACATGTACTACTTTACCACACTGTGTATTGTAATTATTTGGTAAGTAAAGGACAATGGAGGGGGAGAGGAGGAGAACGGAGGGGGAAAAGAAACGAATATAAAATATTACATCTTTGTTCTTTGAGACCATGATTTTTGGTATCTTTCTAGTGATTTCTTGATTAACTTTAAAGGCTTCAGAAATATGCAAGAATTCCTGTATTTGTTAGGGTTTGGGTCTCTTGCCTGGCTTAAGATCTAAACCCAAGATTGGTTGCAGGCCCTTTAATTTATCATTGTGGTTATAAAATAAAACTTGACTATGAAATAATCTGTAGAGCATTTATTGTGGTTAGATATTTAATCAAGCCCATTTAAAAAGACAGATCACCGCATTGTATTTCTGAAGCTGATGTTGAATAATATTGTATGTCAACTATAATTATATATACATATAGTCTCGGGACATGGAGTAGAGAGTGGGAACGGATTCAATGGAATTGTAATAGATAAGCATGATATTGGGGGTGGGAGGGCANGAGAGAGAGAGAGACGGGATATTATTCAGCCTTAAATAAGAATGAAATCTTGCCATTTGTGACAACATGGATGGGCCTTGAGGGCATTTTGCTAAGTGAAATAAGTCAGAGGAAGACAAATACTGTATGATCTCACTTATATGTGGAACCTAAATAATTGAACTCATAGAAGATAACAGACTGGTGATTGCAGGGGACGTGGGGAAGCGATGATGGGTGAAGGTGGCCAAAAGAAAAAAACTTCCAGTTATAAGATAAACAAGTACTGGGGATGTAATGTACAGCATGGTAACTATAGTTAACAGTACTGTATGATATATTTGAAAGTTGTTAAGAGAGTAGTCCTTAAAAGTTCTCATCACAAGAAAAAAAACTAAGGTATGGATATTAACTAAACTTCTTGTGGTAATCATTTCATAATATATATACACATATATCAAATTGTTATGTTGTATACTTACTAATACAATGTTATATGTCAGTTTTATCAGAATAGTAATGGAAGTGGGAGATGGAAGTATATGTTTATCTTTTTAAAAAATTTCTTCCAAGTGATTCTAATATGCCCTCCAGAGGGTATGGTATACTCATCTACTGAGAATCTGTCCCAGTTTTTCTCTGGAGAATGTGACTATTAAATATCCTCTGTGAAATCATACTAGCCAACTTTCTGGGCACTTTGTAGCATCAAATTATCGCCTTCTATTTAATGAGCAACATATTGTACAATCAAAATAGTCATATTATAAATCTAGTCAACATGTAATTCTAATAAAAATAGACTTATTTATGCTACTTTTTGAACAGATGCCTTTTTATGGGGAAAGAAGAAATAGAAAAATGAATAAAGATTTTTCTCACCAGTTGATTTAGCCTATGAGCACTTTTGGTTTGCAAATCTAAACTTATTAAGCTACCATTCAAATTTTATATTAATACATTTCCAAATGGAGAAAGTAAATATGAATTTAATAAGTATTTATCTTTATTACTGAGAAGCTAATAATATTCCAGAACTGATAATGGAAATTGGTTATGTGAAATTGCATTTCTTTTATAATTTTAACTATATGTGGGCTTAGAGCTTTGGTTTGTTTAGCCACCAACTGATTGCCTTTTGAGTGGATAGTCAAAATGTATTTTTAAATTGAGCTGTATGAAATTGAAAACTGTTTAAAAGATTTTCAACTTTGTCAGATTACTATAATTATAAACAACCTACATTTCTCATGCTATCTTTCATTATAGCATATGCCTGAAAAATTAGCAAATTAAATTTTAGTGTGGGCAGCAATGTTAAATTCCTGTCTGCATATCTGAAACTAATTCTCACATCATCTTATTTAAAAATGGAACAGTCTAGGAATAGTCACTCTGGTCATATACTTATTTTTCACGCTGAGGGAGAAGTTTAGGGAGGAAAGGAGACAATAAAAGGAGTAATATGTTACTAAGGTTCTCCCCTCCGATTTCTACCCCTTCCTCTATCATGTTTAGGATTGCAAAACTGCCCCTGTGCAAACCTGAATTAAGCAAAGCCGTATAACATCGCCAGAGGAATTTACTGAGCACTAGGTTAAACTGGTTCCCTAACCTGTGAAAGAACATGCCAAATTATTATGATTATAGCAAAACTGATTTAAGAATTTCAGTGCAGAAGCTGGAAAGAACTATAGACATCTTCAAAAATATTATGTATGTCGTTCAGCTTGCTTACCTTTTGAAAAAGTATGGTGACTTCTCTTCCTTGATAGGGTAATCTCTAGAAGTACATTTTATATTTGCCCTTTATAGAAAGGGTAAATGAGGTGCCAAAATTCTGATCATAAATACTTCAGACAACCAGTTTTAGGCAATTGTTGCCCCTCATTGCAAGAATAGATATTATTTTATGGCATTTGGTATGTTTTAATTGAGAAACATGGAGAAAAATTTAATTAGTTTCTTCAAGACACTAAGGATTTTTGTTTGTTTGTTTTTGGGGTTTTTTTTTTTTTTGCATTTACTTTCCAATATTTTCTTTTGGCAATACTCTAGTTGTCCTACGTATAGACAAGTAGCAAATGAATAGCATTTGCTGATTTAGCAAATCTTGTGTAGTTCCCGAAGGCAATATAGTTCTGTTGAAACTTGATTGTATTGTATTCTTTGTTAATTAACTCATGGGAGAGATGGGAAAATTACCATGGTGTAACAAAAAAAGAGCAGATATTTTTTCATTATGAAAGAGTAATTAAAACAGTATAGTCATTACAAAGTTTTTAGAAAGTAGAGAAGTCGTCATTGACCAAATTCTGGTTCCTTGATAGACTATCTAGAGAGAGTATAAATATCCCCTAAATAATTTTCACAGTGATTTAAAAAGCTCATTATTAGTAATTTACTCTAATATCCCAATACACCATACTGAATTGAAAAGATGATGTTTGACTAAATATTTTTCTTGTTTTCAAATCAATGTGTTTGAACAGAAACCAGCCTCAGAGAAAATGTACTTATCTGGCTACGGTGTGGAGCTAGCAATTAAGAGTACGGAATACAAAGCATTGGATGATACCCAAATTAAAAGTAAGTTTTTTCTCTGTAATTGAGTAGAATGAAAAATTGGAGATTTACATACTTTTGCTTTTTAAAAAATTTCATGACTATAATTCTACTCGTGTTAATTTGAGGCAGGAATGGGGTGGACATATATCGCCTTAGTTTGGAACTTAATTTTAAACAGAAAGAAATATATTTAATATTGTGCTCTCAAAATCTTCTTTAAACATCAAACTTATATCCAATGACTTACCAACCAATTTTGGCAACATATTTAAAAATGATAACATAAGGTACACTGAAACAGCAGACAAAGCTGCCTATGGCTCTTGGTGGCTGACCCAGGAGCTCAGACTGGCCCATGATGTGCTCAGCCACCCCTGATCCCTGGGGTGGGGGCTGGGACGGGATGTCTGAGGGACAAAGGGGATTCGGATCTCAGTAAACCAGAAACTCATTGGTAACACTACCTTAGGAAGCTTTGTTTAAATTATTGATTTATAGTAAAACTAGGATGATGGATTTCTTTTCTTTTTTGAAGTGGGATAGGAGAAGCCTATGGATTGTTTAGATGAAGTAGGTTGGTTAGTTTTTTTCTTTTTGGTTTTTTTTAAGATTTTTATTGGGGAATTGGGGAATGGAAACAGCGGTGGGGAATTGGGGGAAGGGGAACAGACAAGTTGCTGCTGTTTTGTTCTTCAGTCTAGTTGTGGAGGACGTTGCTTCACCAGCCCAATTGCTCTCTTCCCGGGCGAGGCAGATCAGTCGCAGGCTTCTGGACGCGGCTGCTGGCCGCTCACGCTGGCTGCTGGCTACATACAGTAGCCCATGGCAACTCACTACCACAGGGGCTGCAGCCTACGCCGTCGCTGGCGACTCATGGCAGCCCAGCTCCAGGTTGAGTTGTTGTTCAGCATCTTAGCTGTAGAGGGCAGTGTCACTGGCCCTCATACGTGGGATCCG